TTGAGAAGGATCTGTCCCTGAAGCTAGTTAGAGATGAATGGTGAGTTTGCTGCTTGGCATGCCGACCAAAAGCAATAGTCTTCTTATCTACCCATTGTCTTATTTAAGCATCGCTCATCGTAGTATTTATATTATACAGTACTTTGATATTTAATTTATTTAATATTAATTAATAGTAAGCAAAAAAAAATTTTTTAAAAAAATATTAATGTAATATAATAACTATAGCCGACGCGTTTGTAATAGTGAACCATATATAATAAAACAAATTATTCAACTTGAACTTAAACAGCAGCTTTATTTTTATCAAGCCAGATTACGAGATCTTGGACAACCCAATCGCTTGTGGGCTTTCTTTGTTGACATTAACGCGTGCAAGATCCATTATTGGAGTAGTTACTATTGTAAAAATTCAGTAGTATGTCACGTGTTTACCTTGTAAGGCATCGTTAATCAATAAGAGAAAACAGCTTAAACGGGCTTAGCGAGCACCTTGTGAATAAAAGTTCCTCGCAATAGTTAATCAATAAAAGAAATTTCAGGTGCTGGTGTAAACTTGAATAAACTTTTAAGTAGTGTCTACGATAAAAATGTAGAGTACAAAATCTGCTACGCGCTGATGGTTCGATATTTATGCTGGTATGTTCGATAATCATAAGTAAGTGAGCTCGTTGTATACAATAGAAGAAGCTGCGTTGTTGGAGAATAGTAAATATATGGACGTTTAGATGTTTGCAACTGTCACCATTTTCTGAAACGTCTTCCTTTACATAATATGTATGTATAATTCAATAGTAAAATCATAAGTTGGTGTTAACGCTCTTTTATTAGTTATGACTTTCCCTTATCTTAGTAAATTTCATAAGTGATTTTTCCATTATCTATAGCTATTCCTGGAGCACAATTATCCACATCTATTCAAAGAAGACTTCGGTAGAATTTGGGTATTATTGATTTTAAAAACGTAGGGTGAAATTTTTTCTCCTTGAGCCTTCTTTAAAATGCTTCTAATGGTGCCGTAATTCTTGAGTTCTATGGTGTAAATTAAATTTATATTTATATTTTTTTGTATAGAGAACATAATTGTTAGCATATTTCCGTAACAAATCAAGGATAGTCTATAAATTGTCTGAGCCAATGTCACATTATAATTATGCCAGCCTCTCATTTTAATTTGTCACAACACAGAATGTTACTTTGTCTGATTTTGTTGCAGTCTGCCATTATATTACTAAGCAACTTTGAATAAATCTTTTTGGGTTTCTTCACTTGAACTTTCTAAAAGTATTGCGTTTCCTAACCAATGGTTTGCCTTTTTTTCTCTACTTGTATTCCTGGAGAGTTTGGTATTATTATCTTAAAGCCTATGTATCCATGTTTTTTTTTCTTGAACGCTTCTTATTATGCTGTAACTCTTTGGTTCCATGGTGAATTGATGTAAATTAGTTTCATATTACGGCAATTTCGTCTTTTTTGGCTTGTTTTTTTCTTCAAAAGGTAATCGACGGAATTTTTACGTGGATATGGAAGCTCAATTTTATCTAAATTCTCTCAGTTTTATATTTTCGGCTTGGGCTTCGGCGTGTTCGCTTTGTGTAATTACGAGTCCTAATTAATACTTTATGTTTTTCTCTCGACTTCGTTTATTATTATATTACATTTTATATAGTCTTTATTACTATACTGAGGGTAGCGTTCATTCACTCAATCATTTACGTATTGTTTGCAGATTAAACTATGATTGCCCGGGCAATGACCAGTCAACATTCAAGTATTCAAACTTTCGTCGTCAGAATTTTGATCGTAAGACAACTCTGAAGATTTTGCCTCAAACAAAAATGCTCGGATGGATGAATATAGATGAAAAATTGCGTATTAGGTCGAAATGCAACATTATTTAATAAAATGTGCAGGATCTAGAGTGGTTCGTACATTCAAGTCTAAAGAGACAATTACTCTGTTAGGACAGTCAACCTGATCGTCAAGAAAATACAAATCGGTCCATTCAAAATCGGTTTATTTAGAGAACAAAAATAAGAAATTTAAAACAATTCGATATAGTCTACGGTATAAATCTTACATCTAAGTATACGAATATGCAGGTCCATTCCCACCCTCAGGAGTAACCCAGTCTATGTTTTGTGATACGTCTTTTATGTCACAAGTCTTGCAATGCACGCAATTTTGTGAATTGATTTGTAGCCGTTTTTCTCCTTGATTAGCTTCATCATCCACGAATTCATACACACCCGCTATGAAAAAGATAACAATTAGAAATCGGCCAGCATTATTAATACATTGTTTTTATGACAATCTTTTCTACATACCAGGACAAAATCGACCCTCTGGTCCTCCAAATATCTTGAGATTCCTTTCAACGGGTATTTTCTTGTCCCGTACACGAAGATGTACTGGCTGATTTTCAGTGTGATTCGTCCCACTCCTAGCAAGATTCTCCAACAACTCGAACGAAATTTTGCCATCAGGCTTTGGATATTCTATTGGTTTGCATTGGCTGAAATCAACAACAACACGGGTGAGCAACACAAATCATTAAATATAGATTCAACGCCCTCCCAAAACCTCTATACCTGGCAGGTTTCAATGCAGCATAATCTGGATGATGATGGAAAGTCCATGGTACTCTTCCCTTGAGGATAAACGCTTCCAATCCCGAATAGGCCAAAAATCCGTACAAACCAAACGGATTGTTGAATGACGGTCTGACATTCCTTACTTGATATAACTCTTTCCACACCCACGAATTCTTCAGCGATTCTTCATATTCCGTTAACAACACTGGTGTGTTGCTCGACGATCCTTCCGACGTTAACGCCTTGTAGGCCGCTTCAGCTGCAAGCATACCGGATTTCATGGCCGTATGGCTGCCCTTTATTTTTAATACGTTCAAAAAGCCTGCGGTATCACCTATTAGAGCTCCTCCAGGAAAAGCAAGCTTGGGAATCGACTTACGAACGTGAAAGATCAGAAAAGTAGTAAGCATAATGCGTTGGAAGAAAACAAAAGACATGAAGAAAAAAGTTACGAAATCGCATCAATAAAACTGGAGCATACTTGTAGGCCTCCTTCGTTCAGTGCCCTAGCACCATACGCTATGCAAGTTCCGCCTTCGAGGTATTTTTTGATACGTGGATGGTGCTTGTATCTCTGATAGTTGATCAAAAGTTATAATAATGGATTGGTATTTGGATGATATAAACATACTACGCCTCTGGTGAATGCATACCTGAAATTCCTTGTAAGGATGTAAATAGGGATTCTGATAATCCAACGCAACCACGAATCCAATTGCCACTCGATTTTGTTCCATATGATACAAGAAAGATCCTCCGTACGTCTTATAGTCCAATGGCCATCCG